CTCAAAGGAAATGTAAGCAACTTTAAATAATTGCAGGTTTTGACTGTCAGTAGAGCGCAAGTGATAACCTGTAAAATATGTTACATTTTCAAATTTATCCTGCTTAGACCATATAAGCTGGTATAACAAGCCTTTGAACGTTAAAGGGGGACGCAGGTCTTAGAATGGTGTAAAATGGCCAAAATGTCGATTTTGAGAAAATGCGATATTTGAAATTTTTAGACCTATAAGCACGTGTCCTCAAATTGTGAGTGCTGAATTCGATCAGTAAATGGATTAAAATTGATTATGAAGTCGCCACGGGAGCCGCAAAACAACCCACGGCAGGTCGAATTCGTTCAAGCTTCCCGCGCGCGCCGCCGGCAAGGCAGTCGGCCGATCGCCGCCATCTTGGGCTTGTTTTGAAGCTGATTCCTTTGTGCGCATTTTGCCAGCCTTCAAAATGGCGTCGCTTAAACAGAACGGCTGCCCTCGCCCCTTTTCCGGAGCCCCCTTCTGGGCCGCTGATTGGCCGGAGCGCGCGCCCCCTGTTCTTCGCTTCCCATTGGCCGATGTGGCCAAAGTTGCCCGCGCTTTTTTTTTGTATATTGTTCGTCTGCCACCGGTTCCCGTTCGCGCACATTGTTCGTCTGCTTCCCGCACGTATCTGCTTGTGCTACGCGACCGATGCGCCGACTTTCCGTCTTTTGCTGGCATGATTGGAGACGCTCGTCTAAAGAAAAAGACGTGCCAAGCGTACGGCAAGAAACGGAGGTGCCCGTGGAACGCCCGCCAGAAGAAAGCAGCCGACAATGTGCAGCCGATTTCGCCTGATGCCGCCGAAGCGGCGCATTCCGACGACGGCTCGCCGCCGCGGCCGCTTGTGTCCGAAGCGGTGCGCTTTCCTGTGCCTTGCAGCAGCACCTTATCGGATTGTGTCGTCGTCGGATCGTCACCTTGCACTTCCAGCAGCATCCTAGACCGCATTGACACGACGTTTTATTCGGCGGACGAGTTTGCTGAGTGCGCGAGACATGCAGCGGGCTTGAAGGCATCTCTTGCATCACAGTGCGTGACGGAACGTAAGTTCGAGTTACTAAATATTGATCTGGAGGATGGTGGCAAAGAAAATGGCACAGACGACAGACTTCGTTATTGTTGATCTGGCAGCGATACGCTCGTTATTTGGACTTGTCCCGTGCCCAGAATGCGGTGAAAGAAGCGTCACTATTTCAAAGGCCAAGAAAGAGTACGGGCTGTGTTTGAAGCTCATAGTCACGTGCGGCAGTTGTGACTTTCGCGAAGGGCGTTTTTCGTCCCCACGTTTAGCCGACGAGACCGACGCCAAAATAAGGCAGTTCGAAGTTAATATGCGTGCCATGAAGGCTATCAACAGTACCGGCAAGGGGGCAACGGCTCTGTCGGACTTCTTCGCCGGGATGAATATTTCGCATCGAGGGCTTCACCACAGGAGTTACCAAAGCCACATGAATATAATGAAAAAAGCCTGCTGTGCAACTGCTGCTGAATGCGAAGCGGCGAGCGGTGCTCACGTCAAGGAGCTCTATGCGGAGTTCGGCAACGCGCCCGGAAACGTCGACGTCATTTATGACGGCACCTGGCTTACGCGTGGACATAGCTCGCATATATGTGTTGGTTGCATTGTTGAGATGTATAGTGGCCTCGTGATAGACCATATCGTGCTATCAAACTTTTGCCTGGCGTGCACCACAGGACACAAGGAAGAAGGAGCAGGACATTCTGCCTGGCTCATTCAGCATGCCCCTCTGTGCCAGAAGAATGTTGATTGTAATGCTGGCCAGATGGAAGTGGAGGCAGCCCTACGCTTTGAGCGGTCACTTGAAAAGCAAAAGCTTCGTTATACGACAATGCTGTTGGACGGCGACAGCAGGACATTCCATGCACTCACAGAAAAAGAGGTGTGCGGCTTCATAAAGGTGGCCAAAAAGGACTGCATAAATTATGTACACAAGCGTATGGGAGCTGCCTTACGTACCCTTGTAGAGAAAAAAAAAAAAGCTCGAGGTGGCTGGCTCACTTGGTGGAAAGGGTAGACTTACGCAACAAACGATAAAGAATATCGCATCATACTATGGCTACGCATTGAGAAGCCACAGGAACGATGTTCCAGGTATGCAGAAGGCTGTTCTAGCAACATTGAACCACATGTCTTCAACTGACGAGGCACCAAAGCATGACCTTTGCCCTGAAGGCCCTGAATCCTGGTGCAAATTTCAGAGAGCTCTTGCGAAAAATGAGAAGCCACCACCACACAAGGACAGCCTGCTTGATTTCGTAACTGAGGCATTGGAGCCTGTGTTTAGGCGGCTGAGCGACAATGCCCTCTTGGAAAGGTGCAGCGATGGGATCACCCAGAACGCAAGTGAGAGCCTGCACGCTATGATTTGGCAGCAGGCCCCCAAAACTCAGCATGCATCCTTGCGGAGCATTGAAAGGGCAGTTGCCGAAGCCATCAGCCGCTTCAACCAAGGCACAACCAAGAGCAACGTGGAAATTGCCGAGAAGCTGGGCTACAGCGCTGGCAATAACTTGGTGCGTCGCAGCCTTGAGAAGGACAAGGGCAAACTGCAAAAATCGCGAAGAGAGCATCTCGACAGCAGTTGAATAAAGGAAAGACTTTCAAAGCATCACAAGCCAGCAGGGGATTCTGCTTACAGCCCTGGTCTGCTGTAAACAGTCATGATGGCAAATAGTGAGAATTTTCGCAAAAATAACTAGTCTTGGTTTTAGACCTAAACATTGTGTAAATCTATTGTCTATCCAAGGACAACATTATTACATGATTTTTTTTTTTGTTCCTTTCACTTGCAAGGCACTGGAATGACCACAAAGTAAAAAAATAATAATTCTCATGCTGAGTCAATGACTATTTTATAGTTCTAGAACAAGCTGTGAGCAGTATTCTGGGTGGGTACAGTGAAATTTAGCATGGTCATTTATCCTATAATATAGAGCTACAAAATGATGTCGTTAATATCGCTGTAGCTTCACTTTAGCAAAAGTTAAAGTTGCTAGAAACTTCAAACGCATTTTTTTCAGTTCGTTGTTTTTGCACATTGCACTCGGCTTTACGGGGGTTTTTCCTATGTTAAACTTGAGTGAATGCGACAAAGTTGGTATCATTTTATTCGCCTTGACATGATCTAGGGGGTGGTGCTATTTCTGTAGGGTTGAGAGCTGGGCTAGTTGGTGAGACATCATTTAACCATATGGTGTAGTAGCGCAAATTTACGGGGACGAAGAGGACAACACAGTAGCAAGTGTCGTGTTTTCTTGTCCTCTTCGTCCTCGTAAATTTGCGCTACTACACCATATGGTTAAATGGTGCTATTTCTATTTCTCTAGCATCACTTCAAAAATTACCATTGAAGATTTTAGTGAGAGAAATTTATTGTAATATAGTGCGTCCATTTTTTTGCTTGTAAAATGCCTTCAAATGGATAAAAATAGCATCACCCCCTACAGCAAGTCTCCAGCATTGGGATTATGCATTCACTTTTTGGATTTAGCAAGAATAAATTGCCAAGAAGTCGCGTAAGAAGTACGCAAATAATTAAGATTCAGACCTTCATATTTTCTAAACCACTTGAAATATTAAGAAACAAATTAGAGATTTGAAATCAGCATGAAAAACTAGGTTAGGTAGTGAAGTTTAGTTAAGATTGAGCAAAAAAAATTTTTTTTTTAATTTTAGAACCCACGTTCCCCCTTAAAAAATGTGGAATCAATGGGATGGTATTAGTAGATTCCTTAAAGTGGGGCATCGAGGCAGTGCAATATCCTATGGATAGATGTATTCACATTATAGCACCCTATTATTGTAGTGAAACCATTTTTACAGGCGAGCTACGTGCAGATTAACACACTTGTTTTTTATGTCTATATTTCACATAATTTAAATTTGAACCGAAGCAAGTTCAAATATTTCAAGTGCCCAAATGTTCGCATAAGACTACTGATCGTGAATGACCATGCTGCTCTCATATTCAACACATGTTTCGGCATGTGTTTGCCACCGTACAATCTAAGACGGGGTGTAAAGAAAGACATGTAACACACATACGCAGGGCTAAGTTTTAATATTACGTATTGTCACATGGTTGTGATGTTGACGAAGGCAGCAGCATATGTGCCAGAGCGGAGCTTTTTCTTTGGATGAACCTATGCCCAGGAACTGAAAAGACGAGGTACAAGCGATTCACTCTCTACAAGGATAGGAGCTAGCATAGCATCGGTTGTCAATAACCTGATCTGCTGTAATGTACATTGGTAATTGTGCACGTGGCATCATTGCTGGTACTTGCGAGCAATCTTAAAAAAAAACTTGAAAAAGACTCTAATAGTCTTGGGCATAATCTTGATGGAATGATCTCAGAAAATTGTGAAGCTTCACGAACACTGTCGTGCAGTTCGTGCTGAGCATTGCTAACAGTTTTTGTGGGTGAAACTCAAGTACATAAAAATAAAGCAAGCACTGGGCATAGCAGTATTGTTGAAGGTTAGCACTGTGTATGTGTGTTAGGTGTCAGGCTTGTGCAAATATTTGGAATATTCCAGGAGAACTTTTCCAGGGTGAAATCCACACTGCCACAAAGTTTCACTTCAAGATTAAATCAGCATATTACCATTGCATTCATTCATCATTTTTGAAATTCAAAAGCTTGTTATACCAGCTTATATGCTCTAAAGTATAGGAATTGTCAAAATATAACATATTTTACCGGTTATCGCTTGTACTCTACCACTTCTCTTCAATATTGCTTCTACTTCCCTTGAACCGAAAAGAATCACATTTGCACATGCCTTGATTTAGAAAATGAATAAATGTGCGGAGTGGTTGGCTTATGACACTTATGTTAGTTTATTTAAGTGATGTGTTCTATTTGCGCTATTCACTCTGAATCTAAAATTTTTTGCTAGCTTCACAAGCCTAGTTTACACTGGGTGGACAAAATGAGCTGATTGACTGCTCTGCACAGGGGCTACTACCCTAAGGGAGGTGGCCTGGTCGAGGTGTGTGCCCAGCCGCTTGCAGGGGTCCTTCAACCACTAGTCCTCACTGAACCTGGCCGTGTGGTCAGAGTGACGGGCAGGTCTTTCGTCGCAGGTCAGCTCCCCCTCAAGGTGCGTCGTTACTCGCGGAAGAGAACCTGAGAACAAGGGTTGTGTGCTCCACTGTCGACGTTGAGCAGACGTTTTGAAACGTCAGCTCTAGCTTGCCTACAGATTTGTTCATTACAAGCTTCCATCTTCCACACCCTGTCATTTTTTGTCATTTCACTCGTGCCAATGACACTTTTCTTTGCAAAATTTCAAGCGCACTAGTACTTCCATACATCTCTTCTGAGCACTCCTGGTTTTTCAAATATTTGATTTGATTTGATCCCTCATTCACCTTCATTTCTGGCTACATTCTTCTTGTGTGGTAAATGGGAATCAATAAATGAAATCAATTGCTAATATTTAGGAAAAGTCTTGTAAAAAAAATAAAACTGGTGCAGCCATTGAGGAAAAAACTCCTGGCAGCAAAACTTCTGTTCGCGACTTTTTTACGGTAATTAACAGCTTTATGTCTGGTAATGCCAAAAAAAAAATCTGAAAAGTTCTAATGCATCATATAATTAATGCTAAAGTCATTATCTCAGAACGATTTTGCGTCAGTTTGAAACGCCTAAATACCATAAGAAATTAGTGCCTGCCAGCGGGGCACTACCTGAGACTACGTGCATTCAAGATTTGGCGACTCTGAGTACGCTTTTTTTAAATAGGACGATGTGCGGGTGGTGAAGAATAAAACAATGGGGGTGCATTAAGCATTTCTATTTCTGAAAAAACAAAAAGAATTCCTTGGCATAAGCATTCAAAATCACCTTGAGGGCACCCAACAACAGACCTCTCATACCTCTCATACACCTGACCTCTCATACACAAGAGCTCATGCTCTTGTGTATGAGAGGTCAGGCTTTGCTGCCAAATGTGTCTTGTTCCAAAAAGCATGGCCTTTACTGAAACTGACCGGATATGGTGAGTGGTCACCTGACCCAGATATTGCGGAGGTGACCGCTCAACAGCGGGCTCCAATTTTCATGACTAGGTTTGTTCCAACAACCGATTTGAACCTCAGTCAGTTTGCCAACGTAGTCCTTAACCAATTTTGATGCAAGACATAACGAGCCTCAACATCTGTTTTATGTTATTGTCATTCTCTTTTCAAAAGCCAATGCATGTAAAAAAAATTCAGTGCCCGCAAAAGCTGGTTCTCCAAGTAAGGTAATTTAACAATTCTAACCCTCACTGTGATTTACTGCTCTTAAAAATTCACTGGTGACACTCGAAATTTCTGTGATGGGCAATGTACGGTCTCATACCGTATTTACTCCCATAATAGGGCGCACCCCCAGTTTGGTGCCTAGAAATTAGTTTTTTTTATTTCCGAGCATAATAGGTACACCCCGAACTTGGCCTTTATCAGTAGTTCTGTACTGTATTTGCACGGTTGCTGTTTGATGCCCTTTTACGCTAACTGAAATAACAAAAAAAAGAAAAAAAAATATTTCGGCATCGCTATGCCAGCTCAGTGGGCTCGTCAAGTGTGGAAGAAGGGAGGTTGCTTGGGTGTCCTAGTAACCTTTGCACTGGTGCCGGTGTGGCTCTGGCTACTAGCTTGGCCGCGCGCACTTCGCATGGAATATGCGATTGCGTTTTTGTCAAATGCACATTGAGTTTCCTGTCCAGAAAAGTGTCGCCATTGTCAAGTTTGCTACATAATCCTCAAATTTGAAAGCTTTTTGGCTTTCTGACGCAAGCATTCGCCCTTGCTGCCGCTACGCGAACTTGCACTAGCTCAGTGGACTTTTGTCAGCATTGATTTCCTGGCCACGAACCTAAACATTATATTATGTGCGCTGCTCTTGAATCAGTTGCTTGTATGTGGTCTTTCCGTCACTAAACCTTTATGTTGTCTTGTACAAACTTCCCGTCACAGAATGCCGAAACATAGGCTACCTAGGTCTAACCACTGTTGGTGCTTTTCAGTGACTGTCGCGGGCAATCAAAGTTACGCTTTTGTGTGGAATCAAACTCGTTTCGGTGGCCCTACTTAAAAGAAATAGGGCTTGGGTGGCACTTGTAACTCCCGAATAGTGGTTTGCAATTAGATTGTGATGTCCAGGATATAGGGTGTGTGAGCCCGTGAAATCGAACAATTGGTTCGGTTCAGTGCACAAAATTTCGGTCGGAACAATGCACATAATCTAGGTGGCCTCAAATATAATCAATTTCTGCGATGGCGTTTTCTTTATGTAGTTTTTTTTTCACGTTATTTTTGGTTGGCACCACAGATCTTTCGATTTTAGCTTCTTGAAATTTGAAATCGCACCGCGTTGCATGCCGTGATTCTTGGACATGTGAGACTGCATGCTCAACACGTTTTGTGAGAGTGTAGCCTTACAAGCAGGTTGTTTTGGCTGTAGTGCGGATATGTGTGACTTCGGTGACATATGTTATCAGCAGTCTATGCCATAGTCAAAAATTAAATTTTCAGAAATGTTACCCCGCGTAACAGGCACAGCCTGAACTCGGAGCTGAAATTTCTGGAAAAGAAGTGTGTCTATTATGTAAGTAAACATGGTACTTCTAAATATAATGCATATTGTCACACACATTTACAAAATAAATATTTTCACCATAAACAGTGATCACAATTCATGCAACATCACTTCACATTGCTAACTTCTTATCATAGGTCGATAAACTTGCTCATGTTTTGACTCACTCAGATCCAGTCTTGAGTCTGAGTTGGAGTCTGGGTGAGTAACATAATAGTGAGTTTTAGTCCTAGTCAGTCTAGTTCAAGAAACTTTTCCTCAGTGCGAGTCTAAAGCACAAGATATACTCTTTCAGTGAGTCTGAGTGAGTTCCACAAATTTTGCCGACCTATGCTGTACATAAATGGAAACATCAAAAAACACCAACCCAACAAATTCTATTATGATGCAAAGAGAGCTATTTGCAATAAAAACACAGGATGTGCAGGTGCAGCAGCACGTGAACAAGCCAAGCTGCGCCACTTGGCAGCGTTTTTGAAGAAAACAAAAGCAGTAGAGGTAACAACATTATCAGGGTAACAGACTGGATAGCAAGAAAAGGCAAATGTGGGAGAGGGACAACGAAAATTAGGTGGGCAGAGGAGATTAGCTGGTATAGCGTGGCAGCAGAGAACCAGTTTAATTGGCAGAATATGGGACAGGCCTTTGCCCTGCTGTAAACTTAGCAGCCAATGCTCTTGCTTCATAGGTGGCCCACATGATGGCCGATCGGGCGGTGGACATTCTGAGGGAGCAACTCCTGTCGTCTGTCCCTGTGTCTGTGGAACGCCTCAAAGAACCCGAGGAGAAGGCTTTTGGCACAGGAAACGGTATAATGTGCGTGCTTCTTATCACCTGTATTCTTTTTAGGCTTTTTACACAGCGAAGGCTGTTATTAGATCACAACTCGGGTCACGCGCAGTTGTTCGCCACCGCTGGTGTCCGTAACCACATCGCATGAAATTAGAAAAAAAAAAAAAAAAAAAACTAGCACCAATGACACAGTGGAGCTCGAACCAGGGTCCACTGGGTGCCAGCCCAGTATTCTACCACTGAGCCACACCGGTGCTTGGGACTTGTTGGCAAACTTGCCTTACGCAGGCTTGATGTCAAAAAAGCAATCGCGTTTATACAACTCATAAAGCGTTTTAAAACAGCGAGAGACCAACCAGTCGTCGCACAATGCGAATAGGGTAACGAGTGGGTCGTGCAATGCTCCAACCCATTACAAAAGCTTGTTCTTGTTCTTGTATTAAATGTGGCACACACCCACTTCAGCCATTATTCCTCATCGTTGTCAGCCACTGCATGAACAATTGGCACAAAATTTCTTGCAAGTGTTTAGCGGATACCACGCTTCTCAGAAGAATGATGAAACATAGCAGAGCAAATGCTGGCCTACTACCCAAACATTTTTATTAGTAATTATCTAGTGAGTATCAAGCAAGTGTGCTTGCAGTAGTTACCCAATGAATGTTTTCAAAGGCTCTGAAAGGCTGCTCTTCTAGCTTTCGTTGTGACTGTGCTGTGCCATCCGCGCAGGCCTGGCGTTCTTGGTTTGAAGTAAATTTGAAGTTAATGGTAGTTTGGTCAAATAATTTCGAGTTGAATTCAAGTACACTCTAATCTAAATATAATAAACATAAATATAACGAAATATTGGTTATAATGAAGTAATGAATATGTAATTTCTTAATAGATAGTGTTAAGAATACTTTTTATAACGAATTTTCATATATAACAAATTAATTTTTGTGTTAGATGAACTTTGTTATTAATGAAATTTGAGTAGTATATGTAACATACAGTCTAAGACTGATAATTCAGATTTCACGGGGAACACAAATAAGTCAGAATTATCGAATGTTTGATAAAACTAACGCGTTAGAAAAAAGTACTTTTGTTGATGCTTCAGTGATCTGAAGGCCAGGAATAGCTGTCGATGCGTTGCTGCACACGCTTCCACTTACGTGCAGCCAAGTCCGTCTGTATTTCTGCCAGTGGGGTATGCTCGCTGTCGAACCACAGGTAGGACGACGAAAGGATTGCGAGGGCTCGATGCGGTGCGTCTCCAGAGTTTGTGTGTGACGCTGGTTGTTTTAATTAACAGAACAAACGTGCAACGTGTGTTGCTCGTTGTACGTTTACGGAGAACGTGGTCCGAAAAGTCGGAGCACGTTCTCTTGCTGTGTGCACAGCGCAGCTGTGCTATTAAGAGGTCGGACTCGATCATGCCTAAGAATCGGGAATCAACGCATAAGGATGCGTAAGAGTACTCACTCAAGGGGGATTGAATTAGTGCACCGCTTATCAATACATCGGACTCGTGTTGCCAAAGCACGGAATATCTGCGTAGCTGTACATACCTAGTCGACTACGCACGACGCGTTTTCTGGGGAAACTGAATAGCCATAGCAGGTGGTTTGCTTCCCTTTTTTTTCTGATCGTGTCTCAGAAGTAGGGAGTTTCTTTCCACATTTGATCGTGTCACGTCGATGACGCGCGACAACAGGGATTTTAAGCTTCCCCTGCTGTGTCAAAACAATACACATCGTTCGAACTCGGCTTAAACATGCCAAAGATGGATAATTCATGCAGCGGTCTGTCGGGCTTGTAGATTTTCGGTATGCTGTGCGTGTCCACGAAGGGAGCGGAGGCTGTTCGAGGTTAACAACAGGGATGCGGCCATGCTTGACCACGTACCAGTGCATACCCACCATTGTGGATGCCAATAGAAGGCTGCTAAATTTTGACTGGCACACCGTAAACCACATGTACTGTCAACTTCATCGACCCTGTAACAGGAGCCAACACTCAACGTATTGACAGTGTGTGAGTCCCCCCGCAGGCAATGCCAGTTCACTGGGCGTGATCCTGTTTTCAAGTACGTGCGAGTAGAGCCTTCGGTATATACACGAGTACAAAAGATATGAATTGTGCTGACACAGCGAGGGGAAGCGAGGTAGCGTCCCCATTCTTGCTCGTGGTCGACGCGGCATGATCAGCTGTGCAGAGAGATCCTACTTCTGAGACATGCACAATCTGTTGGAAGAAGCGCACTGCCAGCTGCAACTCTATTCAATTTCCTCAGAAAACACGTCATTGTGTGTTGTTGACTAGGTATTCACAGCTGCGGAGATATTTCAAGCTTCGGCGACACGTGTTCGATGTATTGAAACACGGCACACAAATTCAGTTCCCCTTGAGCGTGTACTCATACGCATCATTGTTGGTTGATTCCCTGATTCTGAGACACTATCGAGGCTGACTTCTTAATTACACAGCTGTGCACACAGCAAGATAACGTGCCCGAACTTCTGCAACGTGTGTTGTCCATTCATCTTGTTAATTAAAACGGCGAACGTTGCACAGGCACTCGTGAAATGCAGTGTGGACGGCACAAAGCCTTCATAGGAAAGGCACAGCTACAGGGACTAAATTATCTGCCATATCTGGTGGCAGTCTGGCAACACTGACCTCTCTATCTGGCAACAAACTTATGAACGCCAAACAGAACCTTGCTTTGGCATCTTTCCTTGCCATGATTAGCGTTGTGTATGTCTGCCGCAATTTGTCGACGGCGGCGCTGGCTGTGAAGGCATCGTTGACGTCATTTAACACAGACATTTCGGTACAGCAGAAGGCAAAATAAAGCAGGTCTCAAGACAAAACTGAACGCACGCGGAATTTAGCAGGACGGAGTACCGCAGACACATGCGACAGAATGGCGCCAGTAGCAGCACGGGAATACCGGAACATAGGATGTTCGCGATACTACCTCCCACAATTGAGCAGTGCCTCCAAGATTGGAAAGCCTCATTAATCACCAGTTTGCTTTCGTTTTTCATCTCCAAGACCATACTTTGTGTGGTATCAGGAGATAATGGCTGCCAATTCGGTGTGCGCGCAGATTATCGAGTGCAGATCTGGAAGCAGTCTGAAATATCGGTAGTCTTTACACAGTAGTTTTATGGGGCCATTGGCAGTGCCATGCGACTGTCCGAATTAGGCAGAGACTGCTGTGCCGTGCAGCGCACGAGCCACCTCCACACAGGAACGGCTGCTACGCCGCAGGGAAGTGACATCATGCATTTTTCCGGTTAGTTGCTTTGTTTGAATAGTTCGAATGAGACATGACTTGGCCGAGTCAGCATGCGATGACTCCATGACGCGACTTTCAGTACTTTCAGTGCACCTCCCCATTGGCCTCCCGTCAGCCTGACTTGCTGCTGCTGCGCTGCTCGTGGTCCTGTCTACAGGCCTTTTGATATTGGATGTTTGATGACGCTCACAGAAGTGGCTATATTATTATGATAAACTGTTTTGCCAAGTGATGGTCCTCAGCGGCGCTGATTTTGAATGCAGCTGGCTGCATCGGTTTCTCTGGCACACGCATCAAGAATGTTGATTTGCACGGTTTATCCAAGTTTTGATGACAAAGGCGCACTGCACCGTAGCTATGCAGAATATGCAACGGAAAACCTTTTTATGTCGCTCAGCACACAGTCACCACCTCACAAGATAATCGGCAGGCCGCTTCAAAATACTGACATGCCACCATAATGTTCTAGGCGATCAGCAGTTGATAAACGATGCCCAAGGGCAAGTGCCGACTGCATTAGCCCACTTACCTATAAAACAGTGTCGAACAGGTTTGTGACAGCACGGCAGCATTCACATTACAAATTATGAGAACGGCTGTACGTGTTTTCGCTTAGCGAAAAAGCCTGCAATGCAGAAGCTTTGACTTTCAGAGATCACAGGCTTCGTAAAAACACTTCGCAGCCGCATTTGGGTGTCATGTGGATCCGGACATTCCCACATGAACAGTGGAAAAACATTTATTTCATCATCAACTTTGCTCTTCGGGACAAGCAAAATGAGGTACTTGGCAGCAAAGACACTTTCACCTTTGACAACACCACGTTGCAATCATATTGCATTCACACATAGGAATCTAGAAAATGCAATACGTCCAACAGCAGTACTTTATGGCGCACACACCCAGATGAAGGTGCAGCGTAGTGGACGGCCACGCTGCGCAGCTCCAACCTCCAGTGCCAACTGTGCGCCATCCTGATAGCCCGTGAAGTGGCGAGGAGACAGGGCCTCTGGTCCTCAGTGGTGGCCTATTTACAGGCCACGAATTTGCTGGAGTTTTCAATAGAGTTGTTACTGCTACAGTGTACTCATCCAAGCAGCATGTTGTAGTCTGCTGGGTGCCAGGACACCGCGAAATACAAGGTGACGTTCTGGCGGACCAGCTAGCTGGATCCGCCAACAAAACGGCTAGCAATACATCGATACCACTTCCTGCACTTGACTTGAAAGCTTTTCTAAAACGAAAGCTCAGGGTTTATTGGCAGAGCACATGGGACACATACAGAGGTAATAAATTGCCTGTCATCAAGTTGCAACTTGGTCATTGGCCACCAGTATCAAAATAACGTCACACAGAAGTAATATTTACAAGGTTAAGAACAGGACATACATACACTACACATTCATTTCTTTTGTCTGGTGACGATCCACCTTTGTGTGAAAGATGTCCAGAAGCACTCACGTTACTTCTCAAGAAGTAATATTTACAAGGTTAAGAACAGGACATACATACACTACACATTCATTTCTTTTGTCTGGTGACGATCCACCTTTGTGTGAAAGATTTCCAGAAGCACTAACGTTACTTCACATTCTGATCCAGTGTAAAGAGTTAGACACGCTAAGAAGACAACACTTCCCATTACCCTACTGACAGCAAATACCACTTCACCCTGCAATGTTTGTCGGAAGGAAACCACTTTTTACACATAAATCATTGTTAGCTTTTTTAAGATAGGTTCGCACTTTTCATATCATATACCCGGGCATTCCGTAGCACGACCTCTCTAGAGAGGTCTCCGCTGCTATGGCTACACTCAACAAAGCACTTGTCTCACAGTCCTTGGACGCAAGGGTGTGAACGAGTGAGGCACTTGTGCTAATGCCATACATGTCCACCATCGTTTTTATTATCACAAACTTTTGTCATCCATTAACACCACACACCTTTCACAGCATGGTCATAATTTTATTACTTCTACGTTTTTACTCACCTTAGGGCGAGGAATTTTAAGGCCCTCATACAGCCGCTTATCACAATCATTATATCTCTAGTAAGATGAACTGGCACTCTTGGCCATGAAATGGCCCTTGCGCCACAAAACATCAAACATCATCAACACATTGCACTTACCATCTTTGCGACTGTTGCCTTTCGCAGCCGCAGCGTCCCATGGCACCTCCTAGATTTAAATGCTTGCGATATGTGTTTAATTAACAAATATACGTTAACAGATTCGTCAAACACTTATTTAGCAACATATTTGCAGGTTCGATGCATTATGCAATAGTTGATGAGAAAAGGACGAGCCTTCATCCCCATAGTGAAGCCCACCGTCCACCTCCTCTTATTCGAACATACCCAAACTCAGTCCACTCATCCTGCCTCAACTCCACTACCCTTCTTCTTCATTTTTACGTTGGCGCCGCGTACGATTTCCAACATCCTCTGCCCTGACGTTCCCGATGTTCGAAGAAAGAGGAGGTGGACGATGGGCTTTATCCCTCTCTCAACAAAAGTAATTTGTATATTTAAACAAATAGCTTTCAGATAACTTTTTATGCGACGCCATTTCTGTGCTGCGCAGGAGCCACTTCTGTGTGGGACTGGCTGCTGTAACGCATAACTGAGCTGGTCCGAATTATTGGTGTCCGAATTATTGGTCGGCGACTGTATCATAAAGAAAAATAAGCAGGTCTGTGATTACTGATTACTGTATAAAAACATGTGTACTTGAATGTGTGAGAACCTGAGCAAGCGCCCTCCCCTCCTCCTTGTTTAGGGAATTTGAATTTGCCGCCCACTTTTGAGAAAGTGCCCCCTATAAAAACTGGCGCCCTTGCTCCGTCTTTAGCCATTGCTGGATTTAGCCATAGCCGTTAGGCTTGGAGTGTGTGCGATGTGTTAACGTAGCCAGTCGGTATTTTTTCGTTGTTCCTTGTGGTCGGCTTTGCTGCACGATGCCGTCGATGCGTTCTTACACTGTTACGAAGAAAGTTGAGGTGGTTCAGTGGCATCGCCAAGGTGGCAGCAATGTGCACGCGACCTCGCAACACTTCAACATCGATCGCAGGAGGATTCGTGAGTGAAACAGCAAGTATATAGCTTGCTGCAACAAAAATTCGGCAAGTCGAAGTCACAGCGCAAGCTGAGCAACAGTGCTCCCTTATTAAGCGAAGAAGTCGACGATGCCCTCTTTGAGTTTTTTCAAAGTGAGCGCAGTTCCGGGTGCGCTGTTAGCGACAGGTTGCTTGCAGAAGAGGCTGTGCGGGCAGCCAGGAGCCTGCAGCTCGAAAACTTCGTAGCGTCGGACCATTATATTGCCAGATGGAAGAAGCGTTTCGGCATCTCCATGCGACAGGCAACGAATGAAAGCCAAAAGACGCCGGATGACTACGCAAAAGCCACATGTGCCTTTTCGGTTGTCCGTTAACGAGTTGCGATTGATGCATAACTACATGCCTTTCAATATGGCCAACACGGACCAGACAATGGTCCGCATAGAGTGCCCGTCATCTCGAACAAACATCATCGGGAAAGTTCTGTCCGGATCGCCAATGCTGGATGTGCAAGGTGAGGATTCACAGTCGCGCTCGCTGCTTGCACGTCAGGCCACAAACTTCCGCCCTTCGTTATTTTGAAGGAGCCGAGCGGCAGGATTTCAACGAAAGCTTTCACGAAAATCCGTGTACCAGGTGGGTTTCTATTTCTTTTTTTTTTTTCTTGTTAGTGGGGGTAGCAAGACCATGCTATGTTGTTATTTTTTTCTTATAGTGAACGTCCATGTGACAGCATCAAAGAACGGGCGGAGGACATCCGAAAAAATCCAGAAGTGGCTGTCACAGGTGTGGGGTCCAAACACCGGACATTAGGCGGTTGTTGGTATGAGACCATGCTCCTATTCACGAATCGCAGGCAGGAAAGAATGCCGTGAAGGAGCGAGATAGACATTGCATATGTGCCGGCTGAATGCACCTATTGCAGCCAGCCAACGTGTACTGGAACCGGTTCTTCAAAGCCAGCCTTCGAAGGATCTGAGAGGAATTCATGCACAGAGCAGAAAGAACTCCGAAAGGAAATATACGGGAACTGTCGCGTCAGGACATACTGAATTTTGTGGACGCAGCATGGATGCTGTACCAGAGGCGAGCATTATTCAGAGTTTCAAGAACTGCAAAACATTGAATGCACTGGACGAATCTGAGCAGGGCCTTCTACACAGCTGGTTGTCTGGCGTTGGCCACATTCGTCCACAACGTCCCGAGGAACTGTTGGCTGCTACAGTCTGTTGTTTGACACCGACTCTGACGGGTCCTTCGATGGATTTGAAAGTGAATACCCAATAAAGGTTTTGTTCACTCTGTACATCGTTGTAAGAAGCCATTATCATTGTTTAGAAAAAAAAAAAAACGACCGGCCGCAGTCTTGAATTCTGCAGCATTTCTGTGTAAGCGCCCCTTCCCTTCACCTCGGTCATTATCACCATCTCTGGGGGGGCCCCGCCGCGGTGGTCTAGTGGCTAAGGTACTCGGCTGCTGACCCGCAGGTCGCGGGTTCGATTCCCGGCTGCGGCGGCTGCATTTCCGATGGAGGCGGAAATGTTGTAGGCCCGTGTACTCAGATTTGGGTGCACGTTAAAGAACCCCAGGTGGTCAAAATTTCCGGAGCCCTCCACTACGGCGTCTCTCATAATCAAATGGTGGTTTTGGGACGTTAAACCCCACATATCAATCAATCAATCTCTGGGGGGGGGGGGGGGAGGCTTGCTTGGAATTTTACGGTAATACTTGAACATGTCATCGTTTGTCTATGAGAATTCAACATACATACTGTTGATGGCTTAGATTTGATTGTAGTTCAAAAAGCTAAGCCCCATAATGTTGAGCTTGTGGTGTGAGGCCTTTCTGCTTGTGGGCTTCCTTTTGCTGGATGTCAAACCAAATGTGTGTGTGTGTGTAACGGTGGTTATGGTGCTTCACTGCAGGGATCGAATCCCAGCTGTGCATTTCTAATGTCGCCAACAATGGCCTGTGTGCTTTGATTTAGGTAAAGAACCTCAGGTTGTAGGAATTTCCGGAGCCCTGCACTACGGCATCTCTCATAATCGTATCGTAGTTTTGGGACATTAACCCTGTCATTTATTATTTTCTCTGTGTTGACATACAATCACCAATATTAGGTGTTGTGTTTATTATTTTTTTTATCCACAGTTTGGTTGCAGAGTCTTCAACTGGGATGAAGCTTGCTGGCAGTGCACTTGGAAAACGAGGTAGGGTGACTGCATTGACAATTTTCAGGATATGCTTTAAGGCATCCTGTTGCAGAAATTTTCAGTGCTAATTTTCTTGTGTCAAATGAGAGACTAAGCCTTCAAGGGCTAAGAAAATGTCCTGATAAGTGTTAGTGCACACTAAAGAAAGTATTGACAGTGTGTTTATGAAACTAGTTTTGGTTTCTACTGTATACCCTGACGTCACTACAAGGTATGAATTTATTCAAGTGGACACATGAAGAAAGTCGGGACGCCAAAGCATGACTTTTTTCTTGTGTTTGAATGCCTTGTTTTTTAGAGCAAACACGTATCAACTAGCTCAGCTCTCTTCTAAGCTTCTTGTCGTGTGCTCTGGAAAGATATAGACGTTTCCACAGCTGATCCACACCGTGGCTCTGTTTGTGACACGCAAGTGGCCATTTTGAAAGCTTTAGGGCCTGATGTCACCACAGCTAGCCATACTGCTGCGTGAAGTTGCCAGAACTCGTACTGTGGCCTGACGTCAAGCTAGTGACACTGTCGGTAGGTGCGCCATGAAAAAGTTGGCTTTATTATCACAACAAAATATCTTACCAGTATTTGTCGAGCCTCACACTTGCTCACAGCCATTTCTATATACAATAGATTTGCAGGGGTGCAACAGCTACATAAATTGCACTGATTTGATACAGTTCCCCATTCTTGCGCATAGCTGCGCCAAAACCATGAAGTTCGCTTAAGTTCCCAGCCAGCTAAAATGCTCCCAACCAGCCTTGAAGTTTTCTCAGTTGTGCTAATTTCAGCGAGAAACGGCGGCCACGTTAGCTATCTGGTTGCAGTTTGCGTCAATTAGTCCAAGCGCTCAGACCTTAACCCTAAACCACGGTGTAAGATATATCCCCATTAGGTCAGGGCACTTGGCACTTTCGCGATCAATTAGATAAGGTATCAAAGCGGCGTGCCATCGGACCGCTCACTACTGCGGATACCTATCAGAGGGCGACGCAACTTGAAAACAAAAAAGCGTTCCTGTAACCACCAACTCTTTGTGGGAAATATGTACTTCCTAGTCAACAAACATGGCTATGGCATGTTATCAACTAAAACTTGAAGTATATGCCGCGTTTCCTGCGCGCGAACAGATCAAGTCACGTCACACGTGAGACATGAGCGCCATCTGGTAGTTTCTTTTCGAAAAACAGCGCGTGGCCGTGCACGCCCGTCTCAGAGGTGATAAGCTGTAGAACGCGAGGCGACGGGTAGGTGCTACCACCATCTCGTCTTAGCAAAGTGTTGGAAACTCTCCCCGTTCCGTGCAAGTCTTGCATGGTAAGCACAGCGTGATAAGCGCTACGGTCCTTAAAATTACTTATGTATGCGTTTTCTAGACTTAGATGCATATGCATAATATATGCTTGTTGTTATGGTGCCCCAGACATGCGCAATAATTGCTTTTTAATTGACAATTGCTAAGCATGAACGCTCAACCTTGAGCAACATTGGTGGTCGCTGTGGATGGGGTCGGCCGTTTCAAGTTCACGATGCCGGTAAGAGTGGACAAACAGACAAATGTACAGACAGACAGACAGACAGACAGACAGACCGAAATTTTTGCGTCGAAGGTCCCCAAGAAAGTCTATCGTCTTTAAAAAAGAAAGAAAGAGAGAGGGGCGGGGGGGGCTTATCAATGTTTTACGACTTGTTCTAACTCATGCAGAATGCTGCTTAATCCACCTTCGCCGGAGTACAGAGGTGCCCTGCGGAAAAGCGCGATTGATTTTGAAAGGGCTGTTAGCGTTAATCACAGGACTCGGCACATTTTGTTCAACTACTCATGCTTGTATATGGCGCATAATTGTGAGTACTAGTACAATAGATGATGTCTGAAAAAGTTACTGACAATTATTTGGTGCAGTGTAGGACATTTTTGACGCCCTGATACAAATGTGCCAGTTCTTATTTTTTCGCCACCCCTATGAATCTGAATTTCAAGCTTGCCAGCTTGGCATATCCAGATGTGAATTCGCAGAGTCAGACGCGGCAAATGTTAATGTGGAAGTTATCATTACTTACTCAGTGAGGAGGTTCGTATCACAAATTTTATTTCCTTACACACACGATTTAGAGCATTTTGAATGATTTGTGCATAATTTTTTTCTAAATGTAAGACTTCTTGTTCATACTGCTTCAAATTTGTTTTTTTGTGATAAAAATGAATGTTTTGTTTTCCGTAACCTGCTCCTAATTTGGATTTCGTGTTCCAATAGCAACATTTTACTGCTCTAAAAATTGCTCTAAATTCTATTTTGGCTGTTGCACTCCTGGATTTTTCAGCAGTGTCAACACATTAGAAATGCACATACAAGGGAAGCGCAGGTCCTCTATGAAATGAAGCAAGCACTCAGTAATCTGGGACAAAAAGATGTGTAACATGGTTACTTTTCTAATTATTTGGGTGAAGAATATTGTGAGCGGGAGTTTGAAACAGAAAGAGGAACATGCCAGCGTTGTGACATGGTTATCAAACTCACAAACTACACCACAACTAATTCCAAGGTGTTGTCATTCAATAATAACAAGTAAACATGCACTTTCATTCATTGTTAAACATAATTTTGTTGCACAATATAATTAGTGATATTTTCAGCTCCTCTTCGTGTACTCGGGAGTCATAACGAAATCGAACCTGCCATAAAAATTAGCGGAACCCTGTTTCTACATTTTTCAGCAGACTGGATAGGAAAAACCTAACAGCCGAGAAAACGCAAGAGTGAGGAATGCTGCGAAAATGAATGAGAGCACAGGCACTTTGACTACAAACAATTTATTTCGGCAAAGTGAGCCTAAGACTTAAAATATTTGGAGATAGTTGACTGCCACTTCTTTCGCTCGCTGGTAAGCACCACGCATTTCTCAATAATCTGGAAGGCCGCATTGCTTTCAGTGTCGTTATGGTGTGGGACATACCAGCAAGGGTAGTCCAGGGCCACGACGGCTTCTCCAAAGTTAAGATCGGCCAGCTCCACTGTCAACTCTTCAAAATCGTGTGGCTCGTACTCGACGTCGTCATCGATGTCCTTATCTTCAGTTGCGATCGAGTTTGCAAGGATCTCTGCGATTGTCTGGCACTCCGACGTCACGACAGCAGCATCCACAGCGTAGTCCTTGTACGTCGTACCCATGGCACCCAGTGCATTCATCGCCTCGTTGAGCTTCTGCTCACAAGAGGCTGCTTTCGATTGTTGAGCTTCGATGGCAGAGTCCCCTTCGCTGTCCATACTGAAATCACACTTCGCAAAGCAGTGCATTACAGTTGACGCGCTCACTACACTCCGTGCTGATACGACATAATGCATGGCGTCAAGTACAGAAGTTGTTGTAGCCTGCTGTGCTCGATCAATACGCGCGAGACAGCACATATTGATGCTTTTTCTGTATGAATGCTTCACGCATTTTATGACCCCTGCATCGAACGGCTGCAAGTGACTTGTCATATTTGGTGGAAAAAAACAAAACAAGATCTCTCGGGTGGGCAGCAAAATTGCACTGTGAACCCATCTTATTATTGAAGCATCAAAGAAACTCTTCAAACAAAGTGCACGTCATCCAGGCACGACTGTTACTTCTGTAGTGGCATAACAACAGGTGTATGTTTGTCAAGCACCATGGGTTTTTACACTTGGCGATCTCCCTTATTGCAGCGAAGGAGTACCATCAACTAGTCTTTTCTGCATTTGCCTCCTTGGCATGCTTCGCCTTTCGGGCTTAACGATTTCGATGGCTGCACACAAAAGAAGAGGCCTGTTTCGTCAGCGTTGCAAATGTCATGAGGCTCGTACTTCTCAATTAAAGCAGATAATCTGGACTTCCAATCATCGGCTGTTTCCGCGTTCATACTTGCTTTTTCTCTGTTTAACCGTTTTACAATGAAAGCTGTTATGAGATCAGAACACGGGTAACGCGCAGCGCGGTAGTTGTCCACTGCTGTCGCCGGTGTCGGTAACCAGTATCGAAAGAAAAAAAAAATTCCCGCTGCATGCCAGCCCAGTATTATACCACTGAGCCATGCCAGTGCTTGAAACTTGTTTCTAAATTGGCCTTAGGCAAGCCTGATGCCGGGAAAGGGGTTTTGTTAATATGAGTAAGAAAGCATTTTTGAACATGAAAGGAACAGCCAGGCATCACACGGTGTAAATTGGGAACGAGTGGGTTGTCTAATACTCTAACCTATTAGAAAACTTGTTCTTTATCACCTGTTAACTGTGGCACATACCCACTTTTGGCATAATTCATTGTCGTCAGCCACTGCACAAGAAATTGCACAAAATCCTAACAAGTGTGTAGCTGATACCACACTTCTCTAAAGAATGACGAAGGATAGCATAGTGAATGCTGGCCTACTACACAAAAATTATGATTATGGTGTAGTGATTACTGAGCAGTGTGCTTGTAGCAGTTACCCAAAGATTGTTTAGAAAAAGCTGTGAAAAGCCCCTCTTCTAGCTTTCACTGTGACAGTCAGTTTCGCTGTGCTTGTCAATTGCTTTAAGTACGTCCAAGTTTTCCTCAAGGGAAAACGCTTTCGACTTATGCGATGCCATTATTGCCCCTCGCTCGAGCAACCGGGCCCTTTGTCCCGGTGTCTCCGTGCCCACGGAGACGTGCTCGCAGCACCCCTGTGTAGTACTTCTCGCCTGTGGCGTGGATAAGCCCATTTGCTTTTCCGCCGCACTTTTGCAGCGGGCTCTGTACAGCGTTTTGGTGTTGCCGCAGACAATAAAGTGTTGCCACCTTGAGCAGTACCGTATTCTCACCATAGCAACGGTTAACACGTGCCCTCAAGCTTGCTAAGACCGGACCCATGCTAGTGGCTGTACTCCTTCAGGATATGTGTACACTACACTGGTGCCCAACGTGGGCCAGTTACACTGGCGCCCAATGCGGTATCAAAAGCTCAAAGCTTTTGACTGTTCTTAGCGAGTCATTTAGCCTGTGTGATTCAGGCTCATTTCAACATCTCTGCTTCACGGGATTTTGGTTCACTGCTCCTTTTAGCGGATGCCGCATTACACTAGGAGGCCATTGCCTCTATTGACGGGAACCCTTCGGCATTCATCCGTGTCGCCATCCCCTATTGCGGTGAAGACATGAGGCGCCTATCCGCTTCTTTGGAGATGGTGCATCGTTTCGAAATGGCCCTCTTGCCCTACCCGATTGGTACGCACAAGCGCCTCCAACTGCTAATGTGCCCGTCAGCATGCATGTCAGTTCGTCTGCAAAGTGCTCGCCGACATGTCGGAGCGCAGGCTTTGGCCCTCGCCGACTTTTGTCCGCTGTCAGCCGTGCAACCGACACTTCGAACGCACGCTGAGCAGGTGTCCCGCGGCGGTGGTCTAGTGGCTAAGGTACTCGGCTGCTGACCTGCAGGGCGCGGGTTCGAATCCCGGCTGCGGCGGCTGCATTTCCGATGGAGGCGAAAATGTTGTAGGCCCGTGTGCTCAGATTTGGGTGCACGTTAAAGAACCCCAGGTGGTCTAAATTTCCGGAGCCCTCCACTACGGCGTCTCTCATAATCATATAGTGGTTTTGGGACGTTAAACCCCACATATCAATCAATCAATCAGCACGCTGAGCAGGTGCCTGAATATTCGTCGGTAGCCGCTCCAAGTGGGCATTATGTTCGACAGCAGGCAAATACCACAAGCAGCCTCTTTTGCTTTGGGAGTGGCGCGCAAGGCGGTGGTCCGTTTGAAACCGCCACACTGCTCGAGCTGGGAGACTGCTCACCTTCGCTCCACCGCGCCGACGGCTTCCTGCGAAGCCGGTTCGACGATGCAGACGTAGCTGCAAAACGTCGTGCAGATAATCCAAGCACTCTCTGGGGGGCGTGCGAATGTTTTCGGCTAGTCCGAAAAGCGGTCACCCCGCTGTTATGTTGGGTGTGCCAACTTACAGCGGATACGGTGATCAGCTCACTGCCTGAGATTACCTCGACCCTCTGTCTCGTTATCAGAGAGCAATGAGTTTGGATGATCAAGTGGTGTTCAAACGCGTTGTTCCAGCTGCGCTGACTGACACGGCGGCGAGATGGTATCGGCTTACCGGTTACCGTGCAGCAACCCTCAAAGAGTTCCGCACAAGCTTTTTGCGCAAATTCCTACCCCCTGACTACGAAAGTTGGATGCGGCTAGAGCTCAAGCTCTGTACACAAGCTCCTGATGACTCTTTACAGGAGTATGTATGCGCGATGGATGAACTTTACTCTATCGCTGAGCCCCGAGCCTAGAACGAGGAGCGCATCGAACGGGTGGTATGGCAGGCACATTCGCATTTTTCGGCATACCTGCGCGACGGCTGCTTCGGCGATTTGGAGGAGTTAGTCACCGAGGCGAAGCGCATTCAAGGCCCCGCTGCGGTGGTCTAGTGACTAAAGTACTCGGCTGCTGACCCGCAGGTTGCGGGTTCGAATCCCTGCTGCGGCGGCTGCATTTGCGATGGAGGCGGAAATGTTGTAGGCCCGTGTGCTCAGGTTTGGGTGCACGTTAAAGAACCCCAGGTGGTCGAAATCTCCGGAGCCCTCCACTATGGCGTCTCTCATAATCATATGGTGGTTTTGGGACGTTAAACCACACATATCAATCAATCGAAGCGCATTCAAGGCGACTTTCACGGTGCGTGTGCCTATCGCCCGCCGCCGCCAGCCAGCGATGCCCTTGAGCTGCGCTGCGCTTGGAGAGGGGCCATGACCCTTCTCCAATGGCAACAGCCTCTCGACGCCGCCTTTACGGTTACCACCGGCTACGCGTGGGAGTTGAGCGATCGCGCTCTCGATCCCTATACCATGAAAGGCGGGCAGCCTGCGCTGCTCCCCTTGAAACCTTCACACAGGGACGCTTACCAACCCAATGTAATGTGGGAGGTGACGCTCGCAGAAACGTATCCTGCGATAACGTAGCGAGACGATTACGACAGCTAGTGGCAACTCTGTCTGGGAAAATAGACCGTGATGGAGTGCGCTGCTACCGCTGCCATGAACGAGGGCGCATAGCAAAGAAGTGCACCGGATTCAGGCCTCCTGCAAGGCAGGGAAACGGGTTTGCGGGTTGTTCGTGAAGGTATGAGCGACCGAACTTTTGCTTATTCCCTCTGCGTGCAGGGCAAGCACTTTTCTTGCTGATGCGTACGTGCTGTTCATTCTGGTCAATATTGCCGGCTGTGCGTTTTCGGCGTTGCTGGACACGGGCGCTAGCGCCTCATCGTTCGGCGAACAGGTGTTGTCCCACTTGTAGAAGCACTCAGTGCGCTTGCGGGACAGCCGAACGACATTCACCCTAGCGAAAGGCGTAGCCCATTCGGCAGGCGCTGCAAGGTTGACTGTCAGATCAGATGAGGAGACCGAATGAGACGCTGCCTTCTTGTTCATCTTCCAGGGCTTAATGTTCCAGTGATTCTCGGTCAGGACTTTTTCCCTAAACCCGGGATCGTTGTGGACATTGCGAATGGCGGCTATTGTGATGGCCTTTATTGCCAGCTCAAGCTGTTCATCAGCCCACCGGCGCTTACCGTTGCCTTTGCGCAGAAGCGTCGGAAACGTGCCCTGCGCAGAGTTCAGGGCCAAGCCCCTGCTCAATGCATTCGTCCTCTCACAGCCTCCTTCGGGAGCGAGAAGCACGGCACGAACCCTGTCGTGTGCCAACTTCGGGGTCATACCCTGGCGTTCCGCGCCCTTCAGCTCGAAACCCCTGTTTGGATCGACAGACACGACACGAAGAGGCACTAGATCCTTTGGTCGCCTGCGCGACTCAGTTTGATGATACACAGAAGGCTCGTCTGTCGACACTGTTACATGGGTACGACGAGCTCTTCACCGATAAACCAGGCTGCACCGATTTTGTGAGCCACGTGATCGAAACTGGCGACATACTTTCTTTGAAGTGTAACCCCAGGCCCGTCAGTCTTGCCAAAAGCAGACTATCGACGGGTTGCTAGATGACATGCATGTGGCTAGCATTATTTGTCGCTTGTCTACCTCCTGGGTGTCTCCAATTGTTTTGGTGCCTAAGAAAGATGGCAGTCATCGCCTGTGCCCAGGCGGGTTCGTCGGGCTAGGTTGCGATGCATCATGTAGGAACGTTCTCACAGTTGCGACATAACAGCAGTGATCGCAATACGTGGGATTCTATGAGAGCTATGCCGGTAGCGACGAAAGACAACGTAACAGACGAGAAAACGCAGCAGTTAAGAACGTAACTGCGAGTTTCCACTGTAATTAGTTATATCCAAAAATTTGTTATAAACACATACTTATATTTGAAGCATTGTATGGCTAAAGTGTTGTTCATTTACTTTGTTTTAACTTATATTTCGTTATATTTACGTTTGTTGCATGGTTTGAGTGTATTTGAGTGAAATTTATTTATTATAATTATAAAAATTTAAGAAATGTAAAAATTAATTATGTAGATTGCCGATTTTTTTCGGGCTTTGTAAATGTTGTGCGCTTTTTTGGGGCATTTTTGGGGGGGGGGGGGGCCCTCTGTTTGATAGCTCTGTAGCATGTGGCAACTTTGGCTGTAACCAATACCTCTTTTGTGGGCACGTTGTGTGAAGGAGAGATAAAACATTGGCTCACAATCAGCCAACCCACCTTTAATATTATCCTGAGCGCTATAGACACTGGTAAGCATCCCAATACACACCCACCCAGAATTTGGCATCGGATTATATGAACCCTGGGTCACATGGGACTGGCGAGAAACTAGGCAGTGAATAGGGTAGCTCAAGGGTATCTGAGCCGAGCTCCTTCCAACTCCGCCCCTGTGGAACCATTTCCCATCTCTTGCGACTCTTCAGCCATTATAAACCATTACAGATGAGTTAGGCAAGCTTATTCCCTACAGCGCCAGACTCTAAATAAAGAGGAATCGGTCAGCTGGAGGCAAACTCAAACTGGCACGTTTCTAAATTTGCACACCCTGAGTAAAATGCATCCCTCGGCATACTCTCGTCACTGCCCATGATGCTCAGCTAAAGCCACCTTGTACCACGTCACGAGGGAGCTATTACAGCCTTAGCGCCAATACAGACCCCACAGCAAAGCAATGGAAATGGCTGCTGGCCAGCGAGAACCTGGAAGATCAGCCGAGTCTGATCGAGCCGGCCCGCCGAGCAGCTGCTGCAAGCGAAGCCCTAAACTAAGCCCCCCCCCCCCCCCCCGCCCCCCTCACCGCATGCCAAGAACCTCCCCGGAGCTTCTCTGCAAAAAATGTCCAATAAATAAATAAATAAGGTTCACCACCACCACCAGGCACATGAGGGCCAATATACCATGTGTAAATTTGCTGGGCGCCACTTCACTTTGTTCGCGACGATGGGGCAGCGTCTTCTTTATGAAACTATGATGTGGCTGTCGCTATCAATTGCATGAGTGCCCTTGGTATTTGGCTGTCCCCGTTTACCGTACAAAGCTTTGCCACGATCACTCACCGTGTCGAGTAACCTTACACCGTGGTTGTGGGCCCTTTACTTGTAACGAGTGAGCCTATTGTGATTTGTATGCAGGTGTGATGGCTGAAGCTGTTGGACAAGCAGCAGCGGAAGAGCTCTGCCAGGAACTGAAACACAATGTTTGTGTTGACAAACATCTCCAAGATCAGGTATGGTAATGATCCGATTTCGGTGGATGAGAACTAAATGTGCTGTTTCTTGGGTGAAATGCACTCTGAAAAGCATAGTGCTTGTGAACGAATTGCGTTGCTATGCTTAGGTCATGTGGTTGGGTCATTTGTTGTTTACAATTAATATTATCATCATGACTTCTACGATCCAAGCAACTCTGCATATTTATCTGTACAGGGTTTCTGGGCTTCTGTACATACAACTGAAATTTGCCCATTTTTTAATGAGGCTATCGAGTCTTTTGTGCTACTACTTGGTTCGAAATGGCCATTAGGCACTTCATAACATCATAAGTGTTCTAATGATGGAATCATACACTTTATTCTTGATGAAATATAATGTAATGTAAAAAAATATGCTTCATAGTATCAAAGCCTAAGGCTCTTCTTAAGATAAAACAGGCAAAAAGAGCATACTTAAAATATAAATTTTGCAATTATTGTTTTTTTTTGTTGGTAACTTCCACCATATATATATTGAAAAATTATAAAGTTGGTTTAATATAGTGTTCTTTTTATTCCTAATCTCCTGTACAAGCGATCAAGCCACTCGAAATGAAGGCATATTGTCACGTACGGCTCGTACGTGAAGTTGACAGACGATGAAGGTACAAGAAAACAACATAGTTTATTCGGAGCGAACTTGTGCTCCCTCAACGAAAAGCAAATACAGTGCAACGGCTCTGCCCCAAGCCTAGCGAGCGCCCATCTACCCAAAAGAAGAAATCGAATCTTTTCACTGCCCGCAGCTCATTTAGCGAGCCCACCTATCATTTATCGCGAAATTCGATAAGATGTGCAGGTCACAATTTATGGCAAACAGTCCTTATCACTTCACAACCCATCCAAGGATACACACGTGACACTATCCCCCCTGAAAAAAAAAAAAACAGCATTGCCTCGATGCAAGTAGATAATAAAGCACATTCACAAGAAAAAAAAATAAATAGGCTGTGCAAACAAATGCCAGACCTGCGCGGTAGGCACAGCACAGTCACAGCGAAAGCTAGAAGAGCGACCTTTCAGAGCCTTTTCAATACACTCATTGGGTAACTACTGCAAGTACACTTGCTTGGTACCCACTAGGGCATTAATAATAAACTTTTGGGTAGTAGGCCGGCATTCACTATGCTATTTTTCGTCATTCTTCTGAGAAGCGTGGTATTCGCTAAACTATTGCGAGGAATTTCGTGCCAGTTGTTCATTCAGTGGCTGAGGACGATGGGAATTATGCCTGAAGTTATGCGTCACAGTTAATAGCGGGACAAAAACAAACTTTTGTGATGGGTTGGAGCATTGGACGACCCACTCGTTACGCTATTTTCATTGTGTGACTCCCATGGTTGTTTTTTCGCTGTTGTAAAACACTTTATAAGTCGTATCAACGCAATTGCTTTTTCAACATCAAGCCTACCTAAGGCAAGTTTGACAAGTCCCAAGCACCGGTGTAGCTCTGTGGTAGAATACTGGGCTGGCACCCAGCGGACCAAGGTTCGAGCCCCACTGTGCCATCGGTGCTAGGTCATGCCTGCTTAAGGCAAGTTTGACAACAAGGTACAAGCTACAGCGTAACTCATTGGTAGAATATTGGGCTGGCACCCAGTGGACCTGGGTTCAAGCCCCACCGTGTCATTAGTGCAAGTTTTTTTTTTTTTTTGTAATTTCGTGCGATGTGGTTACAGACACCTGCTGTGGCAGCGGACAATAACAACTGTGCGTGACCCATAAAGTGATCTCATAACAGCTTTTGCTGTAGAAGAAACACACTAAAAAATGAATTCAGACTAGTGCTTGCGGACACGAGCATAAGGTTCCTCACAGAGATTTGGCACACAAATAAATCGGTTCTCTACCGTACGTAAAAAGGCTTCAGTCGCACAACCTGAACTACCTCAAGTCGCGAACAACGCCGCTGCCGCTTCATCGCACCTTTGGGGACAGTCTCGTAGTTCACCTCACTGAAATGACGTAGGACTTTGTATGTGCCAAAGTAACGTAAAAAGAGCTTCTGGCTCAGTCCGCGCCGGCGATTAGGTGCCCACAGCCACACAAGCTCACCGGGAGCGTACTCTTGCTGCCGTCGTCCAAAATTGTATTGTTGAGCATCTACTTCTTGCTGCCTCTTTAACTATAGGCAGGCGAGTTGGCAAGCCTCTTCGACACGACACAAATATTGTGCTACCTCGGAATTCACGTCACTGACATAGACATGAGGCACCATGGCATCAGGTGTTGTAGGTGTTCGCCCATACAAAAGGATATATACGGACTCATTTTTCTGGTCTTTTGCAACGCCGTGTTGTAGACAAACATTACGTAGGGTAGCACTTGGTGTCATGTCGTGTGCTCATTGTCTACGCACATTGACAGCCTGTCAGCCATTGTCTTGTGAGCCGCTCTGTAAGGCCGTTAGTCTGTGGATGGTATGCGGTCGTTCTAGGGTGACTGGTCTGGTTTACTGCAATATTGCTTGCATAAGGTCACTGCAGAAGGCCGTTCCTCGGTCAGTAACGATCACCTCTGGTGCACCATGACGCAGGATGATGCTATTGACGTAAAATATGGCAGTTTCTTGAGCGGTGGCTCTTGAAAGTGCTTGTGTTTCTGTGTAGCATGTCAAATAATTTGTTGCCACTAAGATCTACTGTTTTCCTGTCGACGACGTCTGAAATGGCCTAAGGAAATCCATTCTGATCTGTTGAAATGGTCTTGTAGCAGGTGCTATCGGTTTTAGGATCCCGGCTGGTTTGGTGGAGGGTGTTTTTCAACGTTGGCATTCCCGACACATTCGCACATAGTGGGAAACGTCTGCTGCAAGGTGAGGCCAGTAGTATTTTGCTCAAATCCGGGACAGAGTCCGTGTGACGTCGAGGTGTCCAGATACAGGCCCTTCATGACAGGCCAGCAGAATTTCCGACCGCAAGGACGATGGCACAATCAAAAGGTACGCTGTACTGATCGATTTGAAGTTCTTCTTCACTAAAAGACCATTCTGTAAACAGAACGTTGAAGCATTGTGCTTGAAAAGTCGTGGAATATCTCTTCTGCTTCTTTCAAAATACTCGATGATGCCCTGTAGTTTCGGGTCATTACGCTGTTCTGCGGCGAGGCTTGAGCTTGTTACTGTGCCGAGAAAATTCCAGCTGCCGTTAGACGAAGGCTGCTCTGTCGGTGCACGTGACAAACAGTTCACGTTGAAATGTGTTGTACCATTCTTGTGTACAACAGTCATGTCAAACTCTTCTAGGCGTAAAGACGTCCTGCCGGGTCTTTTATGTTCATTAACCAGCAGAGTGAGTGGTGATCCGTAACGACGCTGAATGGTCTGCTGTAGATGTGTGGTCGAAATTGGGATAAGGCCCACACTATTGCCAGACATTCCTTCTCGGTTGTATAATAATTTACTTCTTCATTTACCAAGGAGCCGCTGGCGTAAGCGATCACTCGTTCTTGGCCGTTTTGTTTTTGCACAAAGACAGTGCCCTGCCCAGTACTGTTGGCATCAGTGTGAATCTCGATTTCAGCGTTATGATCAAAGTGCACAAGAACAGGTGGTTCTTGTAGGCGATGCTGCAGCTCGTAAAAAACTTGCTGCTGCCCAGTACTGTTGGCATCAGTGTGAATCTCGATTTCAGCGTTATGATCAAAGTGCACAAGAACAGGTGGTTCTTGTAGGCGATGCTGCAGCTCGTAAAAAACTTGCTGCTGCCCAGTACTGTTGGCATCAGTGTGAATCTCGATTTCAGCGTTATGATCAAAGTGCACAAGAACAGGTGGTTCTTGTAGGCAACGTTGCAGCTCGTAAAAAACTTGCTGCTGTGATTCTTGCCACACAAACGGGACGTCATTTTTTGTGATGCGTGCGAGCGGCTCGGCCATTTGGGAGAAACCTTTAACGAAACGCCTATAGTATGTGCACAGTCCCAAGAAACTTTGAACACTTTTTTTTTTTGATGCGGGGCTGCGGGAATTTGCGAATAGTGGCAGTCTTGTCTGGATCTGGCAGAACTCCTGCATCACTGATAACATGGCCGAGAAACGGGAGCTTGCGGTAGGCGAATCGGCCTTTTTCTCTCTTTAGCGTCAGTCCAGAAGTCTTTAAAGCGCGGAATACTGCCTCCAGTCGCCAAAGATGTTCCTCGAAGTTGGGTGCAAACACTACAACATCGTCAAGGTACACCAAACAAGTTTGCCGCTTTAGCCCAGCTAGCACTGTATCCATGACACGCTGGAAAGTGGCAGGTACGGAGCAAAGGCCAAATGGCATAACCTAGAATTGGTACGAACCATCTGGTGTGATGCATGCAGTTTTCTCTTGGTCCTTTTCATCCACCTCAATCTACGAGTAGCCAGTTTTAAGATCCATACATGAAAAGTTCTTTGCATGGCACAGCCGATCCAATGCGTCGTCTATTCGCTAAATAGGGTAGACGTCCTTCTTCGTTATTTTGTTGAGCCAGCGATAGTCCATGCAGAATCATAAGCTACCATCTTTTTTCTGCTGCAGAAGACCGTGGACTTTTAGACAGCTCGGTGTTTTAATTATTTTTTATTTATTTTATTTTTTATTTTCACCAAAACAGATACAAAGGCGAAAAATGGGGAGACGGCAAAAAAGCTGCAGTTATTGCAGCTTGACTAAGCATCGTCCACCCTACGTCAGCAATGACAGGGTAAAAACGAAATACAATAAAATGAAAAAACAAATATTATAAAGCAAGAAAACAATACAAGCAGAAGACAAAGTAAATGACAGGCCAAGGTATACAAACAAAAAGGAATATTTCATGAACACATGAGCACAGTAATTTGCAGAGTATGTATCATCGCTTTCGTACATAAGAAAGGTACACAATGAGGTTACACAAAAGAAATAATAAAGAAAAAAATATAAAGGTACACAATAAATGATGCAAAGCAATACAGAGTGACCTATGTAAACAATACAAATCTACAAGAATAGTGTTTGCACATCGATA